CTCCAAACCCTGTCTCAACTTCGCCAAGAGGTGTGGGGAAGAGGAGGAAGAGGAGGGGGCCAAACCCAGCGAGGGTCCAGTTCCTTCTCCAAGCAGCCAGGCGCCTTTATCCAAGCGGGGCGCGCTCGGGGTGGGTCTCCTCTTTGGCGAGTCGAAGCCTCCCCCACCCACCCAACCTCGGACTCTGCCCTCCCCACCCCCCCGGTCCCTCCCTCCCCACCCCGGCCCCTACCTTGGAGTACAAGCCCCAGGAGAGCTCCGTCTCGATGACCATCACCACGATACCAAACATGCCGAAGATGAGCGCGTAATCGCTGAGCCGTTTGCGCTTCTCGAAGAGGGCGCGCCGGTGGCCCAGGCGGTAGCCGATGTTCTGGTTCTTGCGCTTGGGCGGCTTGGCGAAAGGCGGGCCGGGGGCTCCGGGAGCCGGAACCGACCCGGTGGAGGAAGAGGAAGGCGGGGGTTGCTGCTGGTGGTGCTGCTTGGCTCCGGGACCCCCGCCCGTGTTGGCTTGCAACAACCCCGCCGGGGAGTGGTTGCCTTCCCGGGAGATGACGATCTCCGGCGGGGGCGGCCCGGACGCCAAGAGTTGCAAAGGTTGAGCTTCTCCGCCGGGCTCCGGAACCGAACCGGTGCCGGCAACCGGTCCGCTGGCGTCGAGCAGGTTCCGACGGGAAGCGCTGAGCCGGCTGAGAGGTTTCATGACGCCGCCGCTGTACTTGCACGAGCTCATGGCGATCTCCGTGAAGGGGTTGCTGTCCCGGCGGTGCGCCAAGGGGCTGGCGGCTTGGCGGTGCTTGGCCGTGCCGCCGCCGCCGCCGCCTCCTCCTCCGCCACCGCCGCTGGAGCTGGGCGAGTGGCCCGGAGCCGCCCAACCGGGCTCGCCGCTGACGTTGGGCTGGCTGCCGTGGCGAGAAGCCGGGCGCAGGGCGGCCACGGCCGGGGGAGCCCGCAAGGGACCCCCGGAGGCCGGTGGCACGGGTGGCACCGGTGCCAAGGGTGCCAAGGGAGCCGGGTTGGGTGCCAGGTTGGGGGGCGCGGCCGGTTCGCCCCCTCCCGGGTCGAGGAAGGGCGCGGGGGGCTCCATCCTCCTCCTCCTCCTCCTCCTCTTCTCTTTCTCCTTCTTCTTCTTCTCCTTCTCCTTCTTCCTCCTCCTCTTCCTCTGCCCGGCCCTGGCCCTGGCCCGGCTCAGCGCGCTGCCCGCCCCAGCGCAGGGGCATCCAAGCCGGCGCCCACCCCCACCCGCGCGGCTTGCCCAGCCTGGAGGCTGGGGCGGGTGGCAGCACCGGCGGCGGCTGCAGCCGAGCTGCCAGCGGGCGCGACTGGAAAGCCTGGCACAGGAACGCGCCGGCCGGCCAAGCCCCCCTTGCCTTGGGATGGCGCTCATTGGCTGGGCCGGGAGGTGAGGGGGGGGTGACATCACGAGCCCCCCCTTCCTCCTCCTCCTCCTCCTCCTTCCCCTCCCCTTCTAACGGGTGGGTGGGTGGAAGAGGAGCCCCCTCCCCGAAGCCGCCCGCCGGGACTGCGCCTGTGCGCTCTCCTGCCGCCAGCGCCACGGGATTCGTGGTCCGCTTTTGCGCGCCCCCCCTTCCCCCCCCCCCACAACGACAGAACGGGGGTCTGCTTCATTCATTCGGCCGGGGAAAAGGACCCGCCCAGCCCCACCCGCCACCGGGAGGCGGGGAAAGGCTGGCTGGCAGGTGGGCGAAACAACAGGTGGCGATGCTGCTTGGAGAAGCCTCTCCCGGTTGGAGGGCCGATGCCCGGCCTCTATGGAGGAAGAGGAGGGGGAGCGCTCTCCGTGCACAGCCCCCCCAAAATCCATCCACGTTAGATCGGGGAGTCAGCCGCCCTAACGTCTGGAAGAGCTCATCTAGCCCATTTGGGAGCTCACCCTCCCCCCCCCTTTTTAAAAACCCTTCCCCCTCCTCACCAGAAGGGGCCTCCAACTCCCATCAGCCACCAGCTGGGAGGATGCAATGGTTTCTGGAGTCGGTGCCAATTGTCAAAAATTGATATAGATGGATGGATGGATGGATGGATGGATAGATAGATAGATAGATGTAGGTAGGTAGGTAGTGATAGATGAGAATGATAGATGCGTGTATGTGTGTTTGTGTATGAGAGAGAAGTAGATAGATGAGAGAATGATAGATGATAGAAAGATAGAGAGGGAGGGAGATAGATGAGAGAGAGAGGTAGAGAGATGAGAGATGAGAGAATGACAGATATGTAGGTAGGTAGATAGATGATATAGATACATAGATGAGAATGATAGATGCATGTGTGTGTGAGAGAGAGGTAGATAGATGAATGATAGATGAGAGAGAGAGAAGTAGATGAGAGAGGTAGATAGATGATAGATAGATGAATGATAGATATGTAGGTAGGTAGATAGATGATAGATACATAGATGAGAATGATAGATGCATGTGTGTGTGTGAGAGGTAGATAGATGAATGGTAGAGAGAGGAGGTAGATGAAAGGTAGATAGAAAAATGAATGATAGATATGTAGGTAGGTAGATAGATGATAGATATAGAGACATAGATATACAGAGACATATAGATAATAGATATAGAGAGATATAGAGAGACATATAGATGATAGATATAATAGATAGGTAGGTGGGTAGATAGATATAATAGATATAGAGACATAGATGATAGATAGAGATAGATAGGTAGGTAGATAGATACGACGGGCAGGAGAAATCCCTGCTTCGGTCTGCCTTGGGAACACCTGGCTGAACACCTGTGGCCTTGCCCTATGCACACCCACTGCCAACCTTGCCCAGGTGTGACCCACGCACTCCATTCAGGTGGCAGAAGGGATGAAGTCACGGCCAGCCAAGGTTGCATCCAAGGAAACACCGAAATCGCGTGAAAAAAATCAAATGGCGTGAAACACGGTCCCGCGTCCCTTTCCTTCCTTCCGTGCCAGTGGCCACTTTCATCACTAAATGAACCGTTGTTAACTCCTGTCTTTATACCTTGGCTGCTTTCCAAGGAATCCTTGTGGAACAGGCCAAAAGAGGGGTGTGGGGGGGTGTCCAGAAGAAAGAGAGACACTGCCCCCCCACCCCCGTTAATGGCTCACCCCTCGTGTACTAGATAGGACCAGTAGCTGGAGGTGGAGTTCTCGCCTCACCATCAGGAGGCTGCGAGTTCGATCCTAGGTAGAAGCTATTAGTTGGGATAGACTCTCTCCTGCTCTAGCAGGGGCTTGGGCTAGATGACCTCCAAGGTCCCTTCCAAGTCTTGTTTATCTGTATATATAAAAGCGAAATACATCATCACAAAATCTCCAGAACCGTAAAGCCTACAAACGTGAAATCTGGCACGTAGGTTCCTCTTGGCTTCTAGGGGCTCACTAAGAAAGGATTTTTCCAAAAGACCATCAAGCGCATTAGTATTTCCTATATTATTATTATTATTATTATTATTATTATTATTAAACATGCTCTGATGCTAAGGAGTTCTACTCCTCCTCCCCACCTGAAAAGAAATCTCTTCCAAAGGCAAAACACGAGCAGAGGAGTTTTAGTTTCAGAGCACCAAGCAGCGTTAGTCCAGAACAGTTGAGCTAAGCCACGCCCAGGCTCCTTGCTGCCTCCTTTGTTCACACAGCAAATACTCTTTCAGTTTCCAAACAGCCCTCCACTCTCTCACACACTGAGAGGATGCTAGTCAGATGAATACCGATGGATGCTGGTAGGCAGAGGCAAAAAATTTTTTTTTCCCCCCCCCCCCCCCCCAAAAAACTAAGCCCCACCACATAGTTTCGTAGCGAAGCGCATGGATATCCAGCTAGTTCGATATATAGGAAATAGAAACGAACACATTCATACAACCTGGTGTGGGAAAATCCTTTCCATCCTCCCCCTTTGAGTGGCTGCCCTTCTTACATCCCTCGCCTGGATTGGACCCCAGAAGGGCCAATCAAAAAAAAGAGGCAGGGGCCTTTAACCAATCAACGGGCTTTATTGGAGCACTGCCACCGCCTCCCTACCCAACAGGCGGAAAAGAAATTATGCGTTTCTCGTTAATATTAGCGATTCATACGCGATGCTGCCTTAACGGGGGTAATACACACAGCAACAGAGGCAGGAAATTGGGGGGAGGGTCTTGCAAACAGCTGGGAGAGCATTTCCCATTCAGAAGGGGGGAGGAGGGGGAGTCCAGGCTGAAAACAGCCCCCTCCCCAAGTCGCTTCCCCCCCCCTCTCCTTCCCCCCCCAAAATGCAACAGCCTTGCAGAATGGCTCACCTTTTTTTTTTTTTTTTGCAAATTTGCTTTGCACACCTTCCCGGGAGCCGATCTGCTTAGTGGCCAACTTATTTTAATTCCCCCCACCCCCAAGGGAATTAAACCCACCCCCCCCAGCATCGGAGCGGAATGAAGCCGGGGAGGGGGATTAAACTCGCGGAGTGGGGGGGAGGAGTGCCTGCAAAAAAACCGCGCCTTCCAGGTGCATTTCAGAGGCTGCTTTCAATGCGCTTCGCTCTCATCCCAATGCAATAATTTTTGGGGGGGCGGGGGGTGTCTCTCCCTCCCTGTTTTCTGGAAGGAAATCCCCCCCCGCCCCTCCCCATATGGCAGAAGAACATTTTGCTGGGGGAGAAATTGGCATTCTGCCACGGGCCAAGGGAGGGGGGGGAGGATTGGGGGAGGAACGAAGCGAAGAGAAAGGAGGAGGGAAAACCAGGCTTTTTCGAGAATAAGGCACGACAATGTGGTTCCCCCACCTGTTTGGGGACCCCCCCCCCCAGTGGGTTTTCCTAACCACAAAGGACCATAAATTGGGAATAAATTTATTTTATCTCCAGGGGGAAAAATGGGATTTTCCTCCTGGGGGAGGTTCCTCCACCGTCACCAATGGATCAATTCAGGTGAAAAAAAAGGTAGAAATCCAACCTTCAGGAGAGCTAAAATCAAGTGTTTTTTGTTGGTTTTTTTGAGGGGGAGAGAAAAAAGCAGGTCTTGCTCTGCCCCCTGGTGGCAGGAAGCGGTACTGCCCTCATCTCAAAGTCGGGGGACGGCGGGAAGAACAAGGACCCCCGTCATCCCTTCCACCAACAGGGGAGAGGAGGAGGAATCGAGACCTTATAGAAAGGTGGGGGGTTTAATCTTCCTCCCAGAGTGACCTGCGGGGCGGTCAAAGCAGGCGGCCTTGTTGCGACGGAGAGGGAAGAAAAAAAACACATTTAAGAAGAAAAAACCGGCACTGGATTATGGCACTTTCTGGAACGGAGTCTCCATTCCAGGAAGGAAGCTGTACAGCAAAGTTTAACGGGATCGTTTCTGGCTTGGGGGGGGGGGGGAAGGGGGGGGGCGGGGGGGTCTTCTTTTTTGGGAAGGACCCCCTCTTCTGACCCCCTCCCCCCTCTTTGGGCCTTCCGCCCAGCCCCCAGCCTAAGCCCCCCCCCCCCCTTTGTGCCCTCCCCAACAGAGCTACGGAAGGAGAGAGAGAAAGAGAGAAAGAAAGAGAGACCACCAGGTAACCCAGTTGGTTCCTAAAGCTTGCTCTGGATAAATTGAAGGAGTTTCTCCAGCTGGGCATCCAAAGATAGCTGGTCTCCGTCGTTGGTGATCACCCAGTCGTAGGAGATGCCTTGGTCTAATCCGCACTCGGATTCGGCGTCGTCAATTCCTGGGGAGCAGAGAAAAGAGATGGGAAGGGGGGGGGAAGGGTTTTAACGTCAGAACTTCCGAGTCAAATTGAAAACCCGGTGGCTTTTACAAATGTGCATGCACACGCACACACACACACAGGTAACCCATTGGAAGAAGCTGGCCTCCACTGGCCTCCTGAGTTTCTTAAGGGCTAGAAACTTAGGACCCACCAAACTAAAGATTTGGGGACTTGAAGACTCATATAATGCCTTAACAATGTATTCAATAAATACCCCAGAAACTCATTTATATACAACTCCCACACTGAGAAATTCTGCACCGAAGACAAATTTCTTGGGTGTCCCTTGGCCGAATAGAGCCTTCTATTCTTATTCTAACTATATTCTAATTCTAATTCATTTTAATTCTATTCTATTCTCTCTTCGCTTCTCTCTTCTAATCTATTTTCTCTTCTCTTTCCTCTTCTCTTCTCTATTCTATTTTCTCTTCTCTTCTCTTCCCTATTCTCTATTCTATTCTATTCTATTCTGAATCCTATTCTTTCCTATATTCTATTCTATATTCTATTCTATTATTCTATTCTTTATTCCATTATCTATTCTATTCTATTCTATTCTATTCTATTCTATATTCTATTCTATTCTGAATCCTATTCTTTCCTATATTCTATTCTATATTCTATTCTATTATTCTATTCTTTATTCCATTATCTAATCTATTCTATTCTATTCTATTCTATTCTATTCTATTCTATTCTATTCTATTCTACTCTACTCTACTCTACTCTACTCTACTCTACTCTATTCTATTCTAGTCTAGTTTAGTCTAGTCTATTCTCTCTTCCCTTCTAAATATAGAATAGAAAATATTCTATTCTCTATTCTGATTTTCAGATTCTACACTAGCCACACCGGAACAGAGCAGCTTTATCCGTCCTTCCGTGTACACCTGGACACAATCAGACCACCTCATTTTACCTGTCACGAACACCCAGTTCCGCCTTCTCCGGGTCTCCTCCGTGGCAATCACCCGCACAATTTGAACCAGGTCCCCGTAGACGTCACGGAACCATTCCACGTCCGAGGATCGGCGGGTGTCGCTCACGATCTGCGTTGGCAAGGAGAGGGGAAAGGGAGAGAAGCGAAAAATACTAATAAAAATCTCTTGGGGACTCGAGTTCAAATTCTGGCCATCTGCTCCTCCCTCATTCTTTTAAACTGATCAGGCCCCGTTCGCCGAACCCAGGACTGAGACGGGAGTCGGTCCAGAAGGCAGCTAGAAGCAGTTCCCCCGACTTACGACGATTTGCTGAGCGATCGTTTGAAGTGACGACACTGAAAAAGGATGTTCTCACACTTATGACCGTCGCAACACGCCCACGATCAAAATTCAAGACGCTTGGCTGCTGGCTCGTATTTACGACAGTCGCGGCATTCCTCCCGGTGGGTGTCAAATGATTCCCCCCCCCCGCTTTTTTGGTGACCTTTCTCAATGGAGAAAATGGGCTCATTGAATGACCATGGGGGACTAAGTTGCTGTGAATTCACTTAACGACGGTCGCAGGGAAGGTCGTAGAATGGGGCCTTAAAAATTGCCTTGCTTAGCTGTTCAGAGCGTCTGCAGTGTGACTACTCTTTATGAGACAAGCCAGGAGCAAAAAATACAGCACAGAGAGGCTTAGATATTTAAGACATATACAGAAATAAACGTGGTAGCAAAATACTTTACAAGCGATTAAACTTCTTAACACAGAGAACTCTGCAATGAATACGGGACACAAGGAGAAAGGACACGCCCTCTAATGGCTGCCTTTATATAAACACCTCTTAAAGGGACAGAGCCCTGTTCCAACCAAGGCTTCCCAAGACCGTAATTAAGCACACGCTTAGTCCAAACCACGCTTGTTTTATTTCAACGCTGGGAATTATGTTCATTCCCAGCCCGTAATGAGTCCCAAACAGTCTCTCGAGATAAGCACCCACCTTTTTCTCCTTTGAAGTATTGCCAACAGACTAAAGTGCCAAATTAACTGTAAAAAGCCAACAAAGTCCACACAGATCTTGAAGATTTAATCCGAACAGAATGAACGACTTTGCTTCCTGCAAAGATTTCCCTACCTTTGCACTTCCTTTATACCTTATGGGAGAGGCAATCACCTCTGACGGCTGATGGCGAACCCCAACAAACCCATCCCCAGTCTTAAAGGGAAATACCCACGCTATGCTAATTTATTCTTATTGCATCAGCGTGCTGGTCGGCTCTTAAATCCCAAGATCTTTTTAACACTAGTAACTTTGGGCTCCACTGTGGTTGTTAAGTTCAGGACCACCTGTATATTCAGCCCGGCCTTACCCAGATGGGTTGCGTCACGCCTTCCACCACAATGCGACAAAAGAAACCAGGGTCGCTCTGCCGTCGTTCTTCCCCCCAACGGATCATGTCTTCGCGGTACAGCTCCTTGTAATCGGTGGCGTCTAGAAGCCGCTGGAAATCCAGGCCGTGTTCCTGCGTGTAAGAAAACCCCAACATTTCCTCTGCAATTCTCCACATTCAACTTCCTAAAATTCCAAAAAAAAAAAAAAGGTGCTAATTCACCCACGGAACTCACCGCCACATGAAAAAAAAAATCCTTAAAATTGAGAACAGACAAATGGTTCCATTCCAGGGCGCGCAAATGTCCCTTGAATTGTATTATTTTTAAATATATCGAGAACGAGCTGGAAACCTGTGTTTCGCTTTGAAACTATGTGGTCGGGCTTAGTTTTGGGGGAAGAAAATAAGGAGGAAAAAATTCTGCTTCTGCCTACCAGCCTCCATCGGTATTCATCTGGCTAGCGTCCTACCATTGTGTGAGAGAGTGGAGGGCTGTTTGGAAACTGAAAGAGTATTTGCTTTGTGAGCAAGGAGACAGCAAGGAGCCTGGGCGTGGCTTAGCTCAACTGTTCTGTACTAAAAGCTGCTTGGTACCCTGAGATTGAACCTCCTCCGCTTGTGTTTTGCCTTTGGAAGAGATTTCTTTTCGGGTGGGGAGGGGGAGTAGAACTCCTTAGCATCAGAGCATGTTATAATATTAATAATAATAATAATAATAATAATAATAATAATAATATAGGAAATATTAATGCTCTGATGGTCATTTCAAAAAATCCTTTCTTAGTGAGCACCTAGAAGGCAAGAGGAACATACGGGCCCAATTTCAAGTATGTAGGTTTTACGGTTCTGGAGATTTTGTGATGATGCATGACTGGTACTGTGCTTTAATATATATATAGAATTTTGCACTCAAATTCAGATTCTACATCCCGCCCAAAACCAAGCAACTTTTAAAAACTAAATTACTTCTTTAATCAGTGTTTCATGCTCAAATAAAATCAGATTCCAGCTCACCCCCCAAAAAACCCCAGATAACAAAAACCACAGTTTTAAATTGAATTACCTATGGGTCATGCTCAACTAAATCCAGAATCTACCCCCCCCCTCCATAGTTTTCTTTAAAAAAGGCAGAATAAATCAGATTTAAACCAAATTACCTTTGCATACTGCTCTTTCAAAGGGCCGGATAAGCGGAGAATGGTGCAAACATCCAGCCCCAACCTGCCAATAAAAACACACAAAAAAAGGAGGTCAGAAATCAACAGGTTCAGTAGAGAGCCTCTCTAGCCAGCAGCAGTCTACCTCACGATGCCCGAAAAAAAAAAAAAAAACAACAACAACAGAGGCCTCCAAACTCTGGGAAGATGCTGGAAGTTGGGAGCCATTCGGTCCAGTTTCCCATGGAGACGTGTGTGTTTTCTGCCCTGTTTAGCTAGGAAAGAGCTTCCAGAGGCAGGAGTAGTTTACCACACAAATTTATATCCACAACGGTCCAATTAAGATATTGAATTCCCCCCTCCCCCAACCAGCAATTAACATATCTATAGATTACAACTAAAGAACAAAACCTGTATTCTATATTAAAATTTAGATCTGCCGGAGTTGAGATTGAATCAAGATCTAATCTAATCTAATCTGGATTTTTAAATTTAATTTAAAGGGGTTGGACAAAGGGGGGGGTGTTGCTCCAGGACAAAGCCCCCCCCCCATTTTTTTCAGGCTCTTTCCCTCCCCACCTTTTTTTTTGCTTTGCTTTGGGGATTTTTAGAACAGAATAGAACTGAATGACAGAGTTGGAAGGGACCTCAGAGGTCATCCAGTCCAGCCCCCTAATCAGGCAGGAGACCCTATACCTGTTCAGACAAATAGCTGTCCAGTCACTTCTTTAAAATCTCCAGTGATTGGAGAAAGAAGGAAGGAAGGGAGGGAGGGAGGGAGGAAGGAAGGAAGGAAGGAAGGAAGGAAGGAAAGGGAGGAAGGAAGGGAAGGAAGGAAGGAAGGAAAAGAAGGAAAGGGACGAAGGAAAGGAAGGAAGGAAGGGAAAGGGAGGAAAGGAAGGAAGGAAGGAAAGGGAGGAAGGAAAAGAAGGAAAGGAAGGAAGGAAGGAAAGGGAGGAAGGAAGGAAGGAAAAGAAGGGAGGAAGGAAAGGAAGGAAGGAAAAGAAGGAAACGAAGGAAGGAAAAGGACAGAATAACAGTTGGAAGGGATCTCGGAGGTCATCTAGCCCAGCCCCCTGCCCAAGCAGGAGACCCTATCCCATTTCAGACAAACGGCCGCCCACATCTTTTCTTAAAAGCCTCCCGTGTTGGACCACCATGCTGCACTGATGCTTTGGGGAGTCGCGTGCCGGCTGCACGTCTGCATGCCTAGCAGACACGCGTGCAAAGTCTGGGGGGGTGGGGGGAAGCATTTGCAAGGGGAGGGGGCAATATGAAGGGGAGGGGGCGCTGCCAAACCAGTGCCAGCCTTGCAAAGGCACATGGGCTGGGGGGGTGGGGGGGGGGGGGCCTTTCTAGGCAGCCCACCCACCCCCGTCCATCATGCAAAGGGCCCGCCCCCTTCCTCCCTAAATGCGATGCTCCCCACCCCCCCAGCCATTTTTTTGTTTTGCACATGCGCCTCTTTTTTATTTTAAATTTTATTTTATTTTATCTATCTATCTTATCTATATTTTTTACCGGCTTTGGATTTCTTCGGCCACGAAATCTTTGCCCGATTTTCGCTTCCCGCTGAAAAGCAGCACCAGCTTCGGACACGGCGCCATAGCTCCAACAAGTTTCCCCGCACCCACGCCACCCCCGCCCGCCCCGGCCGGATGGTCTCGCCCGGGCCCCAGCGTTCCATCCGCGCGCTCCCGCCTCCCCTCGCCTCGCCACCAATTGGAAAACGGCCCGGGCTCCGTCGCGCGCAAGAGAGGGCGCGACCATTTCGGAGGGGGTGGGTGGAAAGGGAAGCAACCCCAGCAAGCGTCGGAAGAGTGAGAGTAGCCGGAAGGAGGCGGGGCAGAGCTGGAACTAAAGGGGCGGGGCTTCTCCTTAGCCGCGCCCACGGAGGTTTGGAGACACGCCCACAGGCATTGCCCGCTTGAGATAGGAATAACAAGTTTTCTTTCCTTTTTCTTTCTATCCTTTCTCTTCCTTCCTTCTTTCTCCTTCCTCCCTTCCCTGCTGCTTCCTTCCTTTTTTCTCCCTTTCTCCTTCCTTCCTTTTCTTTCTCCCTTTCTCCTTCCTTCCTTCCTTTTCTT